TAGACCCACTGTCTTAGGTAATATTGTTGTATGTATGACGTGTTATTAGGATATTTACGATCACCATGTACATTTAGCTTGATGATGTCCCCGGAGTGAGTTCATGAAGGATTATTATGCTAAACCCTACGGTTGGATTAAATTCTAGCATAGTAAGAATGTGATGAACGAGCGCTAGCTTCGGTGAAATAATAATAAATTAATTAATTCTTGATTACCAGTAATTGAATAAATTAATAGACATTATATCTTAAACATGAGGAGATATTCGAGTAATTATTATTGGAGTCTCAATTGTAAATTGAGCTAGGAAAAGGGAGTTCAATAATATTATGTTGGTCGTCCATTAATATTATTTAATTAATTAGAATAGTGGGTTTGGCCCACGAGTATTTTAATTAATTAAGTAGTTCTATTCCTAATCTCCTAAGGGTCTCTAATGTAGCTGCTCTATATATACATCATTAAGCTCATGGGAAGAGAAGAGTTGGACATTATACATGCCCCATAGTCGCGCCGTTTCTCTCTCTCTCTATCTCTCTCTCTCAGTTCCAATTCGAGTTTTATCTGCTTCTTGTTGCTCCACTGATACGAGTTGAAGAAAGGTGTTTGAGATATACAGTAGAAGATCCTGTGGTTTATTGAGATACAAATATATTTATCAACCCCGAAAATCAACCAGCGACGAGCCAGACCCGCCGGACTGCCGATCCGCTGTGTCGACCCAGCCGGAAGCCAACCATGAGCCAGCCGCGCCAGACGTGAGCCGCACGCGCCGCCCGACAGCCCCGTACGCACCACGCGTCCTAGCAATCCGACCCGGCCGATCCGCCGAGCTTGATCCACAAGACCCGATTGCGAGCCCGATGTTCCGTTTGTGATCCCATCTTGTTCATGTGTTCATCCCAGTCAATCCCTTTGAAGATCATCCAGATCGGCTTAAAAAAAAAGCATAAGTTTTCTACGTCATACCTTTAGATCCGTTGCGCATAGGTTTACGTTTTCTATTGAGTTTGTTATTTGTACATAACAAGATCCTCACAGGTCCCAATACTCCTACGGGTCTATATAATTAGGTTATGGCCTAATTATAAACACCTAATTATCTCTTCACATTCTTTGATCTGAGAAGTGATATACGGATCGTAACAACACATGATCTTGACAAAAACACTCTCTAACTTTCTGGTCTGAGGGATTCATCAGTGTTGGATCGTGGACCGAAAAAACTGAGTTTCATGGATACCATAGTCGAGGGCAAAGCTTACAAACAACTGTATGTTTTCGTTTTCATTTACGCAACCTAGGGTTATATCGAATAGTTATAGCTAGATCTTTGTTGTTGGTATGAAAACTTTAAAATTCCACCGCGCGTGCGGTAGGTTCGCATGTCTAGAGTCCAACAGTGGTATCAAAGCTTCAGGTCGGTGTTTATAGCTGTTTGATTTAAAATTAAATTTAATTGGATCAAGAATATGTTAATTAGTACTTTAGTTTAATGATGATTAATCTAAAATCAAGAACAATTTAGAATCGTATGTTCATTCGCCGAACAAGTCCGTCACTCTCTGAATCTCCCCGACGGGGTCAGCACTGTGATGTGGTTGGCCATTTAGGTACTAATGTTGTCTCGCGGCCTAAGGTCGCTGCCCCACCACTGGACGGCGGTTGCCTGCAACAAAAAAAAAAAAAAATTGGTTCTAGATTTGTGCGGGCGTGACCCGCTCGAATTACGTTGCCAACAGCGATAGCTCACTGTGTGGTTGGATGCCGGGAAACCCGAGCTTTGAGCTTGGGTTCTTCGCCGTTATTGGCCGATTTAAAATATATATATATATATATATATAATGAAGACCTCGACTGACGGTTTGGCCTGCCAAGGGAGGTCTCCGTCGGTTGATGCGGGTTTGGGACTCTGCGGCGGTCTGGGGGTCCGGGGGGAGGGGACTGGATAATATGGCCCTTGCTCGGTTGAAGAGTTTGCATTTAAGTACGACATGTCGGCCATTTAAGAATAGGTCAAGTCAACCTACTAAGACAAATTATGTGTATATATAAGCAAGAGAAGCTTGAGCAGGACGAGTGAACTGGAGGGAGCTAAAGAGGGAACGTAAAAACTAGCTAGGTCGTGCACCTCGACATCATGATAATCGGCTATTAAATTTGGATAAGGGCAAGACAATTTGGGGAACACCCGACCTAAGAGGCTGAGACCTATGGACACTAAGTACAATGACCTAAATGAAACGGAACTTGTGAACGATACTAGATGAGCAAGGTTAAATCTAATCAAGACAATGAATGAATCTAATTAGGATAAGGATGAAATGAAGATAAAGGTGAATACAAGGTAAAACTAAAATACTCTCTCTACATCTGGTTTCTCTAGTTACATTCATCATCATCTTCCTCTTTTTGATCACTGATTTGATTATCAAAGTGCTCACGCCGAGAGCTCCTTCCGACCCTTGTTTTGCAGGTAATCAGCTGTTCTCAGACGATTGGAGGTTTTCAGTAGCCGGTTCAACCTAGATCTAACTTTCGACACATCTAGCTGGTGTATGAATTATGATAGTTTTCAAAGAAGTCCAATGTGTTTTAAAAAAGAAAATTATTCATGAGTTAAGATAATGAAATCGAAGAATAGGTGGGAATCGAAATTTAATACAATTCATTTTTTTTTTTTTTTT